TCTTAAACAAGTTCACAACCACTCCTTCCCTCCATCTACTTGGCGTATCCTCGTTTTTCCACACCCAACTGTATAGCAGTACCATCAGCTGGATCATCCCCTTCCCCCCAAACCTAATGAACTCGTTGACTATCCCATCCGCTCCTGCTGCTTTGTGGCAAAATAGCTTGTTCATACACGCGGGGGGTCAGGGGCGTACTCTTATGTTTTGCTAAGACGGGGGGTCAGGGGACGGTTAAAAAATCGGACCGCACAGCAGGTTCAGAATCGGACCGCACAGCAGCTTCAAAGTTCCTGCTTGTAGCTCACCGATCTCGATGGTATGTAGAAGGATCGTTTGGAAAATCGCGGACCGCTAATCTGTGGTTTATCGCAAGGGCTACATCTCAGCTACCAACATTGTACACAGGGGGGGGCTCAGGGGACGGTTAAAATACGATTGTAGTTTCGTACTGGAGTTAGAACTTGGACTTGGATGTGCGGGCGTTTCCTGGATTTTAAGAGAACGTATTGCGATCTCCCCCGCGTCCTTTAAGCCTGAGACTATCCGGCGTCAATTTTCACTCCGCGTGTAGGATTGGAAATGTAGCCATTTCGTGAGCTCTCGGCCCTATTGAGTTCCGTCTACAGTTCTATTTTGCTGGATTGATCCCGTGGGACGCCTCATTTCCTGAAGAGGATAGAGAAACGCGTTTCGTTTCGCCGTTCCCGGACCAGCTGGCCAACGGTCGTTAGAGCTGGACCGTTTAACGGCGATTCGCCGGACGGCTTTTCAGCTCGTTGGCGACTCGGTCATCTCGCCAACGAGCTGAAAAGCCGTCTGGCGAATTGCCGCTGTTGTCACCACCGGTCCCCCATCGCCGCTGCTGCTAGAGTCTCCAGGGTTAGATTTTTTCGCGGCGGGTGAGGTGCTCAGAAGCCGGTGCGAGCAATGCCCGAGTCGTGGTGGTTGATGGAAAGAAGAAAGAAGCGTGAAATGCGTGTGCCCGGAAGAACATTCGTTTTATCTGCTGAAGTGCCCCGTTATATTCCCGATTTGCCGACGATAGCGGTCGTCCGCGAAGCGCCCTTGTATTTTTTTACTAATCAATCTCGGCCTGCTTTCGCGGAGGTCCAGTACGTCGCTTTTTTCGCAACATGCACGCTCGCTGGCTCCGTCCACAAGTAGTCCGCGAATGCACCGACGACATGGACGCCTGCGGTGACTTGGACCTCTTGTCTGAAGCCTATCCTTGGTGCCCCTTCACTTGAAACAGTAGTTGCGGAAATTTCGGCCTCTTCGTCCCCCCTCCCCCCTCCGCCGATCCCAGCATCGTGGGAATGCAAAGTCGATGGTGTAACGACGACTACCGCATGCATTTACATGAGAAGACGCCCCCCCACTTTCCGTGCCTTTCCTTCTCAGTACCCGATTGACGGCAAGCGGCTGATACACAAGATCCTAGAGACGGTGGACTGGCTCTCCGAACAGGAGGACGCCGACACGACTTTCGAGTCCTTCTTGAGCGGCTGGTTCCTTGGGGCGGACTGCTCCGAGCTTAAGCGGGGTAACTTAGTGGTGTTTCTGGCATGGACTCTCTATGCCAAGGAGGTGGACGCGCTGTCAAAGGCAGAACGGAAGAACGTCATGAGCATGGTGGGCGGCGCGCGCAGGGAGTGTACTCATGTTTTGCATGCCTCATTCGTTAAGACTATTGAGTCCTCGAGAGGGAGGGCGGGTTTCGTGAGCGTGAGGTTCTTGTCCAATCGAGTGTTGTGTGGTTTTGCAATGTAGGGGCTGTTCGTCACCGTTTTGTTCGTGGTTTCGTTCAGCCTGTCTGTTGCTCACGCGTGCCCAAAAATTTTGTTCAGAGATTCTTTCCCAACCCCTCGCCAACCAGCGCGTGCACCTTATTGTCACACAACCACTTCCACTTTCCACCACCCCCCGAAGCCTTCCCCTACCGCTCTCCAGCCCACCCGCCAACATATGTTGCACGCCATGGCTGACATTTGTTGCACGCCATGGCAACCACCCCCCCTCTTCTGTGCACGCGATTTTTTCTTTTTTTGTTAATAGGTTAAGGTAATAGAGGGGCGCCTTGGCCGCACCATGGAGCCGGGCTTCAACGAGCGAGTGAAGTGCATCCGCCACACTCTCGACCGTGTCGTCCCCTTCTCCCACCGGCCCCTGGCCCTCTACGCGGTCCTCGGCCTGGCCCGCGCCCTTGTCCGGATCGCTCTCGTCCTCTGCGGCTTTCGCCGGAGGCTCGCCCCGTGCGGCTCCTTCATGTATTGGCACCGGCAAGCGCCTCCGTCTGGGGCGGCGGCGGCGGTGGCGGCGATGCCGGGGAAAACGGCGGGTCCTGGGCCTATCGTTTTTTTTCACGGGGTGGGAGCGGGCCTGCCGTTCTACGTCCTGGCGCTCTGGAAATTGTGCCGGCACCGGGTAAGGAGGCGAAAGTGGGTGTATTTTTTGTATGTCACGTGCATCTGTCGAGTTTGGGGTGGATCGAGGTGGAAGCGAGCCACGGCGGTAGCTGTGGCGTGAATCTCGTGTATGATGTGGTGGTGCGGTCGAGTCAAGGTGGAGGTAGAGATTTCGAGAAGAACGGGAGGCAAGTCGCTGCGCCAGAGTATTGGTCGATGTGTTGAGGCAAGAGTGATTGGGGGGACGCGATTTCGTCGGCCCTAGAATGATGCAGATAGATCGTCTGTGGATCGGGTGGCACGCCCACGTTCGTGGCGCGGAAGAGGAGGCGCTGCGAAAGGCGTCATCATGTTTCTTTTTTGGCACCGCGGCAGGGGCAGCCGCAATAGCAACGACGCCGACGATATTTTCCGAAATGGCCTCTGCTTGTTATTCCTCATACGCCTCTCCGCTGGATAAAATCACCATCCCTAGTCTTTGCTCCCGCCCCCCGTACCCCCATCTCTCTCCCGTTTGCCTGCTGCTACCTTCGTACTACCCTCTGTTTCTCGTTTTTCGCGCCTCCCGATATCAGACCTCCATAATCGTGGAGGCCCCCTCCATCATGATGAGCCTCGCCCTCCTGAGGGGACACACGCCCCCCTCCGAGGACCAGCTGGTGGAGAGCGTGGAAGGGATCTTGGAGAGGCACGGGGTGAAGCGGGCGGCGTTTTTCGGGCACAGCTTCGGGAGCATCTCGGTCGCCTGGATGGCCAGACGGAAGCCGCATGTGAGTGTTGTTTGTGTTCTGATTTCGTTTTGGGGGGGCGGGGAGGCCGAGGGGGCATTCGTTCGCAGAGACGACAGCGAAAACACGCAGCAGGCGATTGGACTCACTCCACACGGGGTGGCGCCTTACGTAGGTAGGGTCGTGTATTTATTGCGTTCGTGCTTGTGCAGTCGTGGCCGCCGGCGAAGGCCCTCTTGCCTTGCTGTTCACGACGAGCGATGGGGGGTAGCGCAGGGTTTGACGTCGTGTGTTTGTATGTCTTCTTTCTTGATGGTAAAGTGTCCATTTTTCCCGGAGTTTCTTCGAAGCGTTTCTACGACAGCGTAACCTACACGTAAGCAGCAGCTATGTGCCAGCTCTTGCGAATGGACACGAACCGCGATCAAGCCCATACATGCGGTGCTCTTACAAAAGGAAGTCTTTCCGGTCGATATTTTGTTTCCCCTCACAGCTGGTGTCCCAGATCGTGCTGCTCGACCCGGTGTGCCTGCTGCTGTTCCTGCCCAACGTGGCGAGGTCGTTCCTCTTCCCGGACACAGACGGCATGCCTCTGCACGAGAGGCTGATGCTTCACCTCGTCACCAGGGAGAAGGGGATCTCACACACCCTCCGGAGGCACTTCTGGTGGTACGCGGTGAGTTGGATGGCTTGACTTCAGTTCAGTTCAATACAGTCGTGTTGGGCTGCGGGTGCGGAAGCGGCATACATGGATGCATCTCCACGTGGGGGTGCATGCGCGGCGGTTGGTTCTTCCTTGCGGGTTGGAATTTGTGTACATCAAGCAAGACAGGGAGGGGGGATGCCGTATTCGGGGGGAAATTATGGCTTGACGAGGGTAGAAGGCGACGAGAGGCGCATGTATTTGATCGTTGTCTCACGCCCGTATTCGCAACGGATCGTTCGACCGTGGTACTTGTTTGCTCCTCTTGGTCACGCCTGGGTTCTCCGCACTGTTACCGCTATATGCTCTGTAGCACATAAATTCCTGGCGTGAGATGGCTACCGCAGTGGACGCGCCGGCTACACAGGCGTGCTATGACCGCATATCGCGTAGCAGGGAACAGCTGACTGGCGTTTCTTATTTCATCTTTCTCCCGCTCGGTCGGTCTCGCACGCACGCGCATGTCTGTCGGGCTACCGGTGGCTTGGCGCACGGTGGGGCAGAACGTCATGTGGCCGGAGGATATCCAGTGCCCCATCGTGGTAGGACTAGCCGGACAGGACAAGATCGTGCCCTGCAAGCCCCTCCGCCGGTATCTTCTCTCGCACAGCACCTTTGCGACATGCCCTTCCTGCCCCTCCGGACAAAACATGAGCTCCGTCGATGGCTTAATCAACCGCGGGGCAGGCGGCAGCAACGGTAAGCACATCAACGAAAGCTTCGTCAGTAGTGGTGGGACCGGAGATGGCAGTCTTCGAATTGGGAGCGGCTGGACACCAGCGGGTGGCGGCGGTGGCGCCAGGGGTTTCGTCACGAACGTGAACGGCAACAACAGGTGCAAGGTCCACAAGTGCATCGGCGGTTACAAGTGTAACGGTCACGGTGGTCCCGCTGCGTCTCACGGTTCCGCCGCGCGTCCCGGCGGATTCGTTTCGGCCACAAACGGCGGCGGCCACGTCAGCAAGGCCGCGGTGTTGGGTCAATCCCCGGAGGCGGCAGGTAAGCAGGGGATTACTAAGGCCATGGGTGACGGTAGTGATTCCGGCGGCGACGGCGTCATCAAGAGGGTGGAGATTGTCTATTGGACGGATGCAGGGCACGGAAACGTGCTGGGGGACCCATGGGCGCTGGACGAGTTTGTGCGGGTGGCCACGGCTCAAGGAGCGGCGCTCTCGGTCAACTAGATTCGACTCGATCGTGATCGGGGGTTGTCTCTGGTCGCATTCGTGAAGCGCAAGCGTTATAGACGGAAGGACGAGCGGTGGGATGAGGGAAATAAGGGTTTCCGTCCTCGTAGACGGGAAAATTTCGTTGCCGGGCTTGACACTGACGAGCGTCGGCTCCTCAGAAACGATCGTAGTCAGCTTGACAGAGCCGGGGTGGGAATGGGGTGCCTGACTCGTGTATTGGCCTCCGCGGTTGTTGTCGAAGATGCCATTTTGGTTGCGACGTCGATGCCCCAGCCCCACGTCACGCGTGCGCTTGTCGCTGGAGGCTTAGGCGCACCTTGAGTTATCTGATGTGCCCTGGCCACCGCTCGCGATCGCGAAGTGCACGTGCGCCGTGATAGATTAACCTAGAGTACAATAGAAGTGGTCCTAACACACAGTTATTTAAGTCCCATCAGTAGAAGACATGGTTCAGCCGTAGCGCTTTTCCAGGCGGACCGCGGTATTCACCAAGGGAGCTCTCGGGGGCAGCGAGCTACTGCTGTCTTGGTGACTGACTGCTGACTGGGTCTGCATCTTGCCTGTGGTCCCCAAGCGGCCCGAGCTGGCTGCACCACCTAGGTTACGGACAGCCCACTGCCCACAAGGCCGCTCCCGTAAGAGCAGCACTCTATAATTAGCACAGCCGCATATAAATAGGTCTGTTCACTCGACGTGGGGGTAGGCGACCCTTCCCTATCCACCGCATGACCCCTTCTTTCGAATAGAGGTGTGTTGTCGATAGATGAGGCCATAGAAGAGGGGATGATGTTTTCTCCCTCTTTTTCTTTTTTTTGTTTCTTTGTTTGGATGCTGGGGTCGAGGCTTGCGGATGATGACTCGCACAACGCCTTCTACTACGATAGCTCGTCGCACAGAGCCCCAGTGTTTTGTCCTTTAACGCGTGTAGGTACATCCTTGTTTCGTGGGCAGACTTCATTTTTTGGTGGTCTCGCTTTCGAAACAACGTACTTGACTGAAGATTGTGCGTTGTGGTCGTTTCTGCTTGAGAGATACGGGCACTTGGCTTCATTTTCCGCCATGAAGATGAACCATATCTTTGGTTTAATTTTAGACAGACGCTTGCAAATGTCCCTGTCCATTCGTCTATGCACAAGATTCTCCTTGTTGCAGGGGGCAATCCTTTGCGAGTAGCTGGCCAGCCACGTATCAGAGGCCTCTCGAGATGGTTTACAGGTGCCTTTTTTGCGAGGAAATTTCCCGCTTGTTGGAGGGTAATGTTGCAGCCTGTACGGGCAGCATTACCGTTCGTTGCACATGCCTGGAGTATAACGAACCCAGCGCTCGCCCTGCGAGCGCACGTTATGCTTCTTCGGGGCACATTAAAGTACCACTGCTGTGTTCAGCGATAGGATTTGAATTGAAGCGCTTCGTCTCAAAGAACAGACACCATCCACCACACAACAAGGGCCAGGACTCTTAAGTTGTTTCTCTCGTTCTAGCTACGTTACGTTGGTCTTCTCTTGATCTCCCGGGGGTGGGTCTTGCGGGCGGTATGAGTCAATGACCGCTAGTCGTTTCTCTTCCTGCGGCGAGCAGCCCCGTATGGATGGGTGTTGTGGCTGTTTGGTCTTGGTTTTATTGTCGTTCGTGTAGTGGGCTCTCGTGGTTGTTCTGTTGCTACTGCCATCGCGCTTCGATCCGAACGCCAGGTTATATGGATCGATCTCTTCCTCCCCACCCCGTGTCTTGTGCCTTGCCACTGCCCCCCTGCAAGTCCCCCCCCTACATATTCGGGCTCCGTGGTCCTACACACTTTCTCCATTCCGTTCCAGCCGTGTGACTTTACGCGACATCGCCCCTAGCCAAACGAAGCTCATGCCCCGCCCTTACCCGTTGTCTCGCCGTGTCGCGTCCATCCGTGCTCCAGGCAACACCAATCACTCGCCATACGACCCACGCCCATTCCAACCGACAAACGTGGAGTACAATCTCACCAAACACACCCTTTCTTTGCATCGGCCCTTCATGACATCTCCCCTCACATTCACCTGGATAGCGCCAGATCTTGCCAAATCAGTCCCTTCACAGACCCTTAACCCGTTATAGCATCTCGCGCTCACCCCAGCTTATGGGGACACCGATCATCCCATACCATTTTCACTCTGCGCCAACCCAGCCCCGTTCCCGACTCGTTTTTCGCCGCGCACGTTCGCGTCCAGCCGTACTTGTCGATATCCTCGCCAAATCAACCCATCCCCAACCGCCCTCCGGCCGAACCAATCGGGTCCAGTGAAGTTAAACGCCACATCAGACACATGCCTCCCATAACAACGCCTTGTTCACTCGCTCTTACATAACTTTCTGCCATCCCTTCTCATCTAATACCTTCTCCGATTCGCCCCCCGCCGCCTTATCTCGCGTCCACTGTAACTTCCAGCCCGAAAACGCATTGTTTTAAATAACACTATGTTGCAGCTTTGCTCGCCCTAGGACTCCCTTCCCTGACCCTTTTCCAGCCATCCATGCCGTATCGCGTCCAGCCCAGCTCCGACTACTTGACCCTTGAACCCATGCTTTGTCCACTTGACCTTAACCGCGCAGCCACTCTCCATGAAAACCAGTCCCATGCCCGAACCTTCTACCGCTATGCCTTTTAACGTCGCTAGAAGCCAGATGCCGTGGCTAGAGAACAACGGTAGGGGAAGGGCTGGTTCGGCGAGGAGCACTGCCACCACAGGTGAGTCTGGGTGAACTACGGTAGACGTCCGTGCTTCCCAATAATCGGCTTGTTCAGTCACAATCAGCTTCGCTCCTGGGCTCCTTGCCGAGCCAATCTCCTTCCCCAGCCCTCCTCCCGCCATGAACTCTCGCGTCCAGCTCACCTCTGACCTCTGACTCCTTGACTCTTGAAGTACGCCTACAACTGTAGTTCAGTCAGACGCACTTATGATGCAGCTTTCCTCCCCAAACCAGTCCCTGTCGCGAACCGTCTCCCGCCATATGCACGCCTTCTTGCAGCAAGCCACACTCGGCTGGGCGCGCGATGGCATGGCGGGTGAAGGGTCAGGCAATTGACTGTAGAACATTGCATGTACGGATAACTAGTGTATGCACATGCATGAACGAAAGAGACAGGAGTCAGTTATGAAGGTAAACCCGAAACCGTCGGTTTTCGAGGCGTTATGGACTATGGAAACCCCGCGAACTCTATTAACATCCGCATCCTTCCGCATACCGCCCTCCCTCTGTACCGGTATCAACCGGTGCTGCAGGTATATGACCGCTCACACGCTTCACACATACACCAGGTTGCGGGATGACGGTGCGAAGGGCTCAATATTAGCACAAGGGAAGGACGAGCTTTGGCACCCTGGCCGTCGTACCTTCCACTTTGTTTTCCAGCTCATCGAGCCCGTTAGGTGCGCATTGTCGTGGGGATGAAGGAGGGTGGACCCCTCCGATAGGCTTGAGAAGAAAAAGCACACAAAACACACGGGACAACAGGAGCGCGTGACCAACCCCCACCCGCCCTTTTCGTTCTTCGAAGCGTATCTGCAGCAGTACATACCCATACCGGAATAATAGCACGTTGCCATCCAACACCCCCGCCCTTATTTTCCAATAGTCTACAGCCCAACACGACGATCTAATGGAGAGACGGACGCTCTCGACCTGAAGTTGTAGTAGTTTTGGCCCAGGCAGGAATCGAGCCATGATCACGGGTACGGAGTCGAGTCGCTGCCCTTTCAGAAGAGCTTCAAGCTTCCTCTTCATACAAGTTTGCGACAATGCTCTGGAGTGTTGTTCTCGTCCTATAGTCTAATATTGCGACACGGCTTACACTTCTAGAGCTTCTACTAAGTATGTATTGTACTTCTACCGATTTAGGATGAAGGGTCCAGTCCGGGAACGTTCCTCAAAAGCTGGGGAACATTGAGTTCTGAAACTGGAAAGCAGCGTTCAGAACTAGAAGAGTAGAGCCAGGCCAAGGCTTGGCGCCGTATTTTCGTAGTGGACGTTGCTTTCGGGAGACGAAATAGATTTATAAATATAGTCTACAAGTCTAGACTATGCACGGTGGTCTTGTTGGTATTCCCGTAACCTTCTAGAGGTCAGGTCAGGGGTTCGAATCCCGGCGTAAGCGAGCTTTTCTTGCTACGTGAGATTTTCTCTCGCTTCCGCTCCTGGCCTAGTGGGTAGCGCTTGTTCGTGTGTACACAGAGGGAAGAGAGTGCTGAACTCTTATTCTCTCGCTTCCGCTCCTGGCCTAGTGGATAGCGCTAGTTCGTGTGTACAAAGAGGGAAGAGAGTGCTGAACTCTTCTCGCATGAAAAAACGAAGGCAAAATACCACAGGGGGGGAAGATAGAGAGGGGCTCTTCTGTGTGACTACGGGTTGGAGCTGACGGCACCATTGCTGTGAGCGCTGATTTGAAGTGAAGACGAAAACATAAAAAAAAAACATGTACGGAGTACTGTACAGGAGGACAGGAGCAAGCAATGCAAGACCATCCACAATAACAGCAGCAGAGTATGTACAGACAGGGCCCGGTTCCAAGAAATAAGAAACATCGAAATCGGGTCGAGCCTCAATTTCTTATTCTGGGCAGAAGGACCAGCAGAAGTGGATCAATTTCTCAAAACGGATTTCTTATTCCTGCGGGCTGTCGCATTCTGCTGATTCTCCTCTGCCTGCAGTATTTTCTTATTTCTGAAGGCGAAGAAAGCAACACACCAAACGCTATCATGCAGCATTAAACCGACAGCTCGGTGTGTGTGGCGAACAAGGGGGGTTGTGGCAGTACAGAAGTACAGCAGCAGTGGGTAGCGCAGGCCGCGGGGCCGCGGGGGGGGTGTACTCATAGTCGCGCATGCCGTAGTCGTTAGACCATTGACCTCGCATTCCTACAACGCCGGCACAGCACGCCCAGTTCTCACCGGACCATGATCTCACATCACCAAGCGCGAAGCGCCGTGAGATATTCGGCGAGTCGCATGGAGGGTGCGCTGCATCCTGCTAAGGGTGTTCGGCATCTTGTGCTTACTTCCTTGCGTACGGATGACAGCTGCGTATGAATTAATTTATTTTCTGGTGCTTTCACTTCCAGAGACAGTTGTAAGCACTGTGTAACTGCCTCGAGGGTGCTTGACCATTTCAACACAGCGTGGTGCGATCATCCCCCTCGCGTCGAGTG